ACTACCACTGTTTATGTGTAAGGCTTACAAACCAACGGACACGAATTGAACTACCTTCGTCTAACAGGCTATCCCTTGCTCGAGATGATCCGAATATCCTTACATTTCAGTTGACTTACCTAGCATTTCGCACATTGAGATGCTTTTCTTTCACTCGAATTTAATGTTAAAAGTTTCCTAAACCAGCTTTAAAACATCGATGTTTCTTGGTCGTTTTATTATGAATATCGATGTTTAAAATTTGAATATCGATGTTTGACAACATCGATGTTTTATTGTGTCGCATCACTATACAAAAACTCTACCATCAATGTATGCCGCTCCACATACAAGATTATTTTAAATTTAATTGTGACTATAAATATTATACAATAGTATAAACGATACACGTGATTTCTATCAGTTAACAAATGCGTTTTTATCTAGAGTAACGAGACAGATGTGATTACGCTTGGCGATTCCGCTAAGTGGACACCGCTGCTAACAAACTTCCCCGGCTCGTGTGTTGATACGAGTCTGCAGAACAGTGACGGGAAGAGAAAGTAAACGCCGTGGCGAAACGAGGCTTATCTTAGTTGTTGCCGCAGGCACGCCAAATATGAACAGTGTACGTGCGCCAAGCGAATGATAGTAACCTACATTTTCCGTTATGTTCGGTCCCACTTCCTCCGCTCTCGTGGTCCGCACAGGCGCTGCGGGTCATTCGGAACCACAAACGACCTCCAATGCTGTAAGATCGTGCGGCAAGGTACTTTGTAAGTGGCGCGACCAGGGTTAAGGAAACTATTCATATCTCCAGGCTGTTAGTGACTGATCGTTTTAATAGGCTGTTGTTTTTTTTATCAACAAATGTCATAAACTGGTGAGTTCATTATGTTTTGTGTCGTTATGTGATTTTTTCGTGAGTCACATACTTGTATTTGGGCTTTATCGAAGATGCAAGTAATGAAAGCTAAACTTGATTTATTTAAAAATAGTCAAAGGTAAATAGGCAATTGAGTTCTATAATTTTACATTCATCCAAGAAAATACATTTATTAAGGATTTCATTCCTCGATTTTTATTATTTTTTGAGTTTTCGAAAGGATATAGTACTGTCTTTGCCAATAAAATGTTGCCAATTCTCTACTGGTCCGATCCTTCTATTGTTAATAGACTTCAATTAAATATAAGACACAAATTCTCAAAATGATTTGTTCATTCATTCGTTGGTAAATATGTACATTTCTATCCGGTGACAAATTCAGTTGCTCCCAAAGTGTACGAGATCCCTGAGGTGATATATTTCTACTACCTCCCCTCACTCAAAAAAGATTTGTTGGGTTAGCGATTCCGCCTCTGCTACCGCACTACGCTCTGATACGTGTCAACATGGCGTCAGAATCGAGAAAGTCTGGTTCACCTTCAACAGACACTGAACAGAGTGCTGTTGTAACAGATTTATTAAAAAAAAACAGTGATTTCTTCCGTTTATTAATCCACGCATACCTAAAACTTATTATTGTTGGACATTTTAAATGAATTTAGAATAATTACAATATATTTAAAAAATGTAAATTATAACATTGGCTAATGAGCGTCATTTACACGTGTCATTTAGATGCTATATTTTAATAAAAATGTACAATATTAAGGCATTAAACTTTCTTAAACCCTTTAATAAGCTAATTGTTATTGTAATGAGTATAGTTTCTGATGTATTTATTGTTAAGTAAACTCCGCTGAGTTTTTCAATTATTGAGCCATATTGATCTATTTGTGCAACTTTTGCACTGCAACGAATAAATTAAAAATTTATCTTTCTTGCCTGTTCTCGTGTTTTTCATACCTTCTGTTCTAGTTTACTTTCGAAGGTTTGTTGTTGTTAAGTAGAAATTAAAAAATATGCTTTCGGTTGACACAGAAACATACCTACAGAGGCCCCGTTTAAAAATGAATTAGGAATCGCAATCTAAAGGGTATAAGGAAGGCAGAGCTGTAAAGTTTTTATATTTCTTGGGAAATGTTTTCGTCCATTGACGAAAGCCATAAACATGGCATGAAATATATGACACAAAGATGCTAAGAACTGTAGGAAGGAACTCAAAGAAAAAAGAGAAAAACAGAAAAACAGAAAGTATTGTAACAGGAAATGAGGTTTCCCGTTGTATTCTCTATCGTGCCTCAATTCTAGAAGTCAATTTATGTGCTATAAGTGAATTACTCGATTGAAGACATATATAACAACGTGAAACCATGAAAGAAATAACTTCTAATAAACTAATACTTTTAGGGGTCAGTTGATGATTCGCTAGCCCACTCCAAGCCATCACGAAGTTTTTATGATAATCTACGATTATCAAAAACAACCTTGGGTCTCCGTAACGTAATTGTATGCAGAAATACGTCGTAAAATAAATTGTACAATTCAAATAAAATAAATTTCACTATTTTCAGATATCGAGGATAACTACTCTCGAGCCAATTGTCAGTCCTAATAACATTTGTCTCACGCAAATTGTATATCTCTATTAATTAATCACACCTGAATTAATATTCGTAATTTTCTTATACTTTGTTCCCTGTGTTCTTAAAGAACATTTAAATCTGCATCTTCACTAAAACAAACTTCAAACAAATGTACGAAGTTAAAAGATGATATTTTTAAGGAATTAAATCGTGACATTAAAAGCGCTGGTTTCCTGATATCCATATATCGTTTCGCCATTTTCATTCTCTAATCTCGTGAAGTACGCAGGAAGATGTAAAGGGATTTTTTCCTCGGAGTTTCCTCCAGCTGACAGCCGGTTACTATTAAAGTCCCGATAGGAAGCATATTTGACCGTACATTATACACCAACACACGTGCGGCTCCTTTCATCTTGGGTTAGAACGCGAGGTCCTCCGCGGCAACACATACATGAGAGAGGGACAAATAATCATGCCCAAGCCGGGACTCGAGCCTGCGACCCGAAGCGCTGACGCGGTACACGCTCTTCGCCGCATCGGGCATCCAGGTGGGTATGTTAAGACAGTGACATGAAGCGGAACACCAGCGGAAGTCCGTGGCACGGGTAGCTTGACGAAATGACCCCTTCACGCAGTTTATCTCCTCGCCACAAGAAAATAGAAGGTAGTCATTGCCCCCTGAAAGCTCTTACGCTTCTCACATGAAATGCGATTATGCAGGATTTAGGTAAATAAAGATGAAAGGGTAGCACTACAAAATAAACCGCAGTTGTTCGTCTAGACACTGAAAGGTACGATCCACTTTGCTTACGCATTTGACTTCTTCGTACTATGTTACCTTCTTGTGTATAGTTTTTGCAAAAAAATTGTATTATTAATTATATATGCGCGCGCGCGAATGTGCGTGTGTGTGGGAGCGTGTGTGTGTGCGTGTGCGTGTTTGTATTCCTGTAAATTCCCGCCATCGAAACTATTTTAAGTTGAAATATACTTTTGATGATGGACAAGAACTTTTATTTACTTAGTTGTTATTCTTATTTAAAGTTTTCCTTTTACGATTCTGTCCATATCGTCTTTTTATATGCGATTCCACCAAATTGGAAAACGGCGGGGTTAATCCTGTTACGTTTCCTTTCCCGAAGGTAGTTGCGTCGAGAAATTCGTGGAATGCCACGGTGCCACGATGCGGGCCACTGCCACTAGTAGACCTTGACCTTACTGTGTTAAGGGATAAGGCGCCAAATACTCGTAGCCGAAGGAGCAGCGCCCTGGCGCTGGGTGTATGGCGCGGCGCGCGGCGCGTGGGGCGCGGGCGCGTGGGGCGCGGGCGCGTAGGGCGTGGGGCACGTGGGTTTCGGCGCGGATGTTTGCCGTGGGTCTTCCGCTTGTGGAACGCGCGCCCGGCGCCAGCGCCGGTGACAAGCCAGAGCAGCCCCGCCCAGAGCTTCCTCCGAGTGCAGCGCCGGCGCCGGCGGGCGACACGCAATGCGTGTTGCGTGAGCGGCGCGCGGAGGTCGCGCCAGTCGGAAAAAGAGCTGCCGCAGCACAACCTTTCTCCGCCCGAGGGTGGCCTTGGACGCACTGCGTGATTCCGACCAGCCCCTCTGCGACCGATTCCCGCCTCACCCCCCCCCTATCACGTAGCGAGGGTCTTACCTAGAATTTCTCCGTTCCGACTTGGTCTGATTCGATCCGACCTGAGGCAACCTGATCCGTTCTCAACCGCACAGTTCCGACCTACCCTTCTCCAACCAACCCTTATCCGCCCCACCCTGATCCGACCCGCCTTCATTTGACCCTACCTGTTCACATTCATCCGCTTCCGACCGCTTCCCTGATCCTTCTCGCCCTGATCCTTCTCGCCCTGATCCTTCTCGCCCTGATCCTTCTCGCCCTGATCCGACGCGCCCTGTTTTGACCCGCCGTTTTCCGGCTCTCCCTCTTCCGACACGATCGTTCCAGATCTGCATCCCTACACCTTTTCCCATCCTAAATTTAATCCGAGCATTGACCATCTTTATACTGCCTCACTACTTTGACCAGGCCTTACCAGATGTGCATCGAACCGTCCATCACTCTCTGCATCGTACTGTCATTTGTCCTCCCGTCACTGCTACGCCTTGCCGCCATTCCTTAATTGAAATTCATTGTAAGTCGCTGAATCATCTTCAATTACAATTTTAAAATTTTTGTTGTCTAAGAAAATTATCTGGCAATAAATAAATTGACGTTTGACCTACAATTCGACTTCGCAATTACAACAATCGAAAAGTATGCAAAAACAATTGTATTACGTACTGCAAGCAAATAAAGTGCAATTACGTTACTTATGAGAGGGCATATCAGAGTTATTGACAAATGTCGTTCAGTTGATTAATGTTCACCGCCTCCAATTCGTAAAATCAGTTGCTGCAACCCTCCCAGGAAAGAAAATGCAATATTTTTCACACTTTCACACTCAAAAAACATACGTAATGGCATTTCTGTTTTAAATAGTGTTCTGAATGTACCTGGTTGTAATAGGTTTGTTCTAACTAATATTTGAACAACTATTTCTTTAAAACAAGGGTTCAATATTTTATTGTTTTTGTATTTTTAACTCTTCCATGTTAATAATACAAAGTATTTACAGGCATAAGTAATAAATAATTTTTACATTTTCCACGATTATACATGTTAAATATTTCCATTCAATTAGGAGTAATACACATTTTTTATGAACATTTTCTACTAATACACGTAGTATATAGGCATCGTTTCTTTGGAGTAAGAGAGAAAGTCTGCCCTGCGCGCTCAGGCGTGCTGTGAGGCGCTGAGCCCCCAGACGTCGTTGGCGCCGCAGGGCGCGTCCACGCACAGGTGCAGCTCGGCGCGGCCGCGGCGCACGCTCCCGCACGCGCACGCCGCTTCGTCGCGCGCGAAAGACACGCGCGCCCCCTGCGCCTCCTCCTCCACTCCCTCAGCGCCGCCAGCGCCCCCCGCGGCCGGGAGACGCGCCAGCTGCAGGAAGGCGCGCGGCCGCAGGGGGTTCCCCCGTAGCTCCACCACGCGCTCCGCCTCAGGCCTGCCAACAACGGGCGAGAAATTCGTTACCAATGGTGCAATTGAACAAACGATTATTTAGTGTCGCTCAACGAAATCGTAATACTCAATGTTAATAGTTACTTTAAGAATGTGTATCTGCCTCTATTCTTAGAAAATTTTCATTGTAAACAGTTAATTGTATCAATTAAGATTGTGTTAGTATCTGCAGTTTTAAAGTCATCAAATTTAACCGTATTTTTTCTTCCTTTCGGCATTAAATTTAAACATTTCTTGATTATATACACAAATGAGCAAATGGGTAAGGACTAATTTGTTAAAAAGGATATTTTGTATCAGATCGAAAGTAAAAATAAATGATGAATGATGTCACAATTACGTGCATTAAAACAAATATAAAAAATAATTCTTGAATTAAATATGAAAAGGGCTTCATCCGAGTTGGAATTACTGTTAACCAAATGTCTAAAAAGATACGAAATGACCGAAATACCAAAAATTCATATTTTCAGTTTACTAAATAAATAAAATGATCCAACTAATTCGAACTATCCATCCAAGCACTATATTGGGATTCATCGCTGTAAATTGATCCCGTAGTTCAAGATGAAACGTTTTTAACCCATTCGTGCAAAATTCATTCTATGGATCATATTGAAATAAAAAAAAATGAACAACGCCCTCGGTGAAGACTGTTCGTTAAACACATTGCCGATGAGGGGCAAATTCGGTTTCCGTGTGTAGATGAGAGAAAAAGCTCACGACCTTTTGTTTTTCTTTCCAGATAATTACAATGGTGCCTAACCATTTCCTTCCACTACATGTATTGTCATGAAGTAACGATGGGAGATGATGATGGGTGTCTAATGATGAGAGATGAAAGATTATGATGGGTATGATGGGATGATTCTGGTGTCATAACTGGTAGTAAGGTCCCTACGGCTATTCCGAGCCTCTGAACCACCGAGCTACGCGCGCTTCTGTTGAAATTACCACAAATGTGTAGACTAGGCATGACATGCAGGCTTTCACATGAATTCCTTGCCTTCCTGGAAATTCCAGTGCTCTTGCAAGAACTGGAAACTTATGATTTTGCTCTCAATCCCCTTCAAAATCATTCAGGAACTAAACGGATATGCTGAATTGGTGCGAGGCAAGAAACAACGGCTTCATTCGAAAATATTCAGATTCGTCCTATCAAACTACCGATATTTATATTATGTTTATATTATTTATTATTTATAATAAGTTCATTTTTATTTTCTTTTTAAACTCTTGTCTTACATAGATATTTTTGCTGAGTGTCAGAAATATTTTTGAATGACGAATTCTACGTTTACGTTTTTTGTTATATTTTATTAAATCGTTCAATTTGTTGTGGATTACAATAGTATGAAATAAATTAAGCAGTTTCTATAAATTAAGAATTCCCGTCTACGGGAGAACAGGTCTTTTAACAGATGACAATCTGAATGTCGAAAGTTCATCCAATTATTGCGCTCCTAAGTATATAATTTACTCAAGAAACTTTTGATTCAAAATGTTTGAATTCACTCCCAATGGACAATTTGAAATACGAATGAGTTATTATTTCATATTAATGGAAAATTTCTGCGCTGAAGTGGAATAAATGGTAATTAATGTAGCTACCTTTGGGTTAATAAATTTTAACTCACTTCTCCAAAAGACTGTCAATAGTGAGGTATTCAGTGACGTACTGTCACTCAGGAGTAATTTGTACAACCATTACTTTAAAATCTCACGCCAGTTGCTGTGGAGACAAGGCTCGACAACTCTAGTAAGCTAGCTACCTTGCTCGCGATATTGACATGCCTGCTCACATGCCATTCTGAGTACTGTTGTTGTTAACGAATGTGTTACGCGAGCTATTGCGTGTTTGTTTCTTACCTCAGAAGGGCTGTGAGAGCTTCTTCGCTTGGATGTGCGATACTGTTGTTCTCAAAGGAGGCGAAGGTCAAGTCTTCGCAGCAATCTTGCAAAACCGGAAGCGTCTTCAGCAGATTATTTGATAACAACAGTCGTTGCAGTTCGTCCAACCCGGCGAAAATTCCCTGATGAAAATTACACCGTTGGATATGGAAGTGTAAAAGGTAGTTTTGGGCAGATATGGTTGCATAGGCTTCCGCGGCCAGAGTTTGTGTTATCTAGGCTCTCAGGGACGAGTCGCGTCACTGACATGGTGGCTAACGTTTCGGCCAGCGTATTGTAGCCTTCCTCAGAGGGTACAGAATACGCTGGCCGAATTGTTAGCCATGTCAGTGACGCGGCTTGTCCCGGATAGCCTAGATAAGTTTTGTGGCGAATCAATTGAATTTATTTGCATATTATCCACATTAGTAGAGTGTTTTCTATCAGTCATCGCCTACTAGCTTTTCATTAATGCAGTATATTCACATGAAATATTAATTTTCTTCAACATTCCATGCGATGAACGATAGTCCAAGAACAGAAAGAGCGACTAATTGGTTTATGATCAAGAACAGAATTAATTAAGAACTGTAAAAATGAATAGGGAGAATCATAAAAAGGTTTTGGGGATAATAAGAGATATTAATAAAAGTAAATATGGTAACCAAATAATTGAAATATTTGATGAGCATATTCAACAATAATATCATAGATACCAAGATATGTACCTGTGGTAGTTTCTTGAGACGATTGTTTTCTAAATTAAGATCAACGAGGTGGCGATTAGTCTTAAATATTGCTTTGGGAAGAGTTTCCAGTTGGTGTCCGTGGAGGTCCAATTTTTCTAACTCGGTTAGGTCTGCGAAAGTATCTTCTTCTAACTGCATGATCTTTCCCTAGAAAAATTTTAAACTTATTAGTGAGAGAACCCAAATGAAATGCATTAATAAACCTTATTAATAAACTTCTAATCCAATCTTTCTAGTATTTTTATTTCCTCCTAAAATATGACAGATGTACAGTAGTGCTAAAGCGCATTACCTTTCTCACTGTTGTAATCTGCAATATAATTCCGAAAATACACCATTGTATTTGCAAACTTCGAGCGAGTTTTGAATTAAATGAAATCAGAAACATCATATAGTCCACATCTAATACATAAAAAACAATGTTTTTTTGTTTTTTTTGTTTGTTTTTGTTTGTTTGTTTGTTGGTCCGTTCGTACTTAATGCGCTGCCGTACCGTTCATCCGATTGTGTTAAAATTTTGTCAACTTATTGCTTGTACTTGTGGGACGAGTGGGAAGCGTGGGAGTTGTGGGAAGCGTGGGAGTTGTGGGAAGCGTGGGACTTGTGGAAGCGTGGGACTTGTGGGAAGCGTGGGACTTGCTGGGAAAGCGTGGGACTTTGTGGGAAACGTGGGACTTGTGGGAAGCGTGGGACTTGGTGGGAAGCGGTGGGACTTGTGGGAAGCGTGGACTTGTGGGAAGCGTGTAGCCATAAGCACGATGGGAATGTGGCATTTGCCTGCGCCATGAGCCAAATGATCTTGTTTCAGGATCTTCTACGGCAACGGCGCCCTACCGCAACCCGCTCACCCTGAGTGTCTGCCCCTTGCGATTTTTGAATAACGCTCGGTGAGCAGGTATCAGAGGGAGACATGAGGCAGACATCAGCCGCAGAGAGACAAACAACAGAAAGACAGAGGAGGGGAGAGAAAAGGCGAGAGAGAGCGGTGAAGAGAGAGAGAGACGGTGGGAAGGAGAGAGAGAAGAGACGGGGAAGAGAGAGCAGGACGGGGGAAGAGAGAGAGAGAACGGGGGAAGAGAGAGAGAGAGAGACGGGGAAGAAGAGAGAGGACCAGGGGGAAGAGAGAGAGAGAGAGAGACGGGGGAAGAGAGAGAGAGAGAGAGAGAGAGAGAGAGAGAGAAGAGACTACGTCTGCCGGATTCGCGCTAGTAAAAATAAAAAATTAACCATTTCTACTAATTTTTTTTTTTTAATTTTTGTGAAAGCAAATTGGGATTAGGAAAATACAGAATTCCATTCCGTTCAGTGATGCTGTTTTAGCACTAACTGCCAGTAAATACCCATTAATATACACACGAAGACTATCCCCCCCCATGTTTTGGGTTCCGGCAGCCAATGTGTGAAAGCCGTTCGCGGCGAGTGTAGATGAAGTCATTGCGTGCGCGTACGTGTGTGGTGCCGAGGTAGCAGCGCGCGCAGTGCGTGGCAGGTGGCGGAAGGCTCCCGCCCGCAGCGGCGCCAGCGGGCTGCCGGCCAGTTGAGGCAGCGGCAGGGAAGGCTGGAACGCCAGCTGCGCCCTCGCCAGGGCCCGCGCACGCTAAATCTTCTTGCCGGCCGTCCCCGCGCGCCAGCCGCGAAACGGGCTGCCTCCTGCAAGACAGTGCACACAAACTGCTTATATCTTTTGGTACGCGCCGATATTTTCTGTAGAAATTATTTTGTAAAATCTATCTTTCTCATGGTAAAATTGTATGATTAATTTTTAAAAAGCCAGGCCGCGATAACAGGCCTACCCTCCTTTAAACACAACGGCACACAAACGTGTATGGTCTGTTTTGTAATGGCCCGATATTTTCTGTTGTTTGTTGTTGATTTTGTAAAAATTCTCGCTTTGCGAAGTAATTTGTAGTATATTTTAACAAAGATGAATTTTGAAATGACAGCCTGCGCTAACGGGGTGCCATCCTGCAACGCAAGCGCACAGCCAACGCTTACGCCCTGTGGTACGCGCCGTATTTTCTTGTAAATTTTTTTTTGAAAAATCTACTTTTCACATTGGTAAAATTGTATCCATATTTTTAAAAAAGCCATCCGCGATTAACGGTCCTACCCTCTTTTAATACAGAGCAACACAAACCTGTATGTCTTATGTAATACCCGAATATTTTCTGGTTTTTTTCTTTGTTTGCTTTTTTTAAATTTTTTTGTAAAATCTAGCTTTTTGCTGGTAAATTTGTAGAATATTTTACAAAATATTTTTAAAACGCCAGGCCGCGCCAGACGGGCTTTCTCCTGCAACACAGCGCACACAAACGCTTACGCCTGTCGGTAGCGTAGATATTTTCTGTAATAATTATGTTTTTTTGTTAAAATTTTACCTTTCACTGGTAAAATTGTGAAATATTTTATACAATATTTTAAAAAATGAATATGTAATACGAAATATTTTAAATAAAATATATAAAATGTACCACTAAATTTCATTAAAATAATTTTTACTATCTACTAATTAGCACTGACGGACTTCAGAAAACAACACTACCGATGCGAGAACGCGCCAGGGTCACCCGGCAACCAAATTGCGGTCTGTGTGTGTTCGGACGTAGGTTTAGATTAGTTTTTCGTATGAGGATAACATCAAATGAAAAAGATGTTGTTTGAAGTGGTGCGGGAAGCGTGCGACCAGTTGAATATCAAAAGTACTCTCACTTGCATATAATAATTATCGTTGTCCCTTTGTATTAAAACGGAATATAAGAGAGATTACGCGAAACAATTCATGTTAATGCACAGTATATCCTTCAACGGGGGCCGGGGGGGGCGGACAAATAATTTTACGTATCATTTGTTGGAGAATTTATTTAATGAAAGAGTGACTTACAATTAGTGTGTGTGAATGTGCGCAAGTGCATATGTGCAATGTATGCGTATATATTTGGCACTCCGTCTGGCCGATAGTAGCTGAGCAAGCTTTCCTAACATCGAGTTCTGAATCGATTCCCTGATGGAAATTTTAACTACTCGTTGCTTTTCAACTGTCCCACATCCAAGTTCCTATGGCTGGTTGATCAACGTAAAAGCTTCTCGCAGTATAGAATGCCAAGAGATGGCGAAAGGGATTGCGGTCTGCTTTCCCCACAGGACTTCCGATCCGTGGCCGTCTGCTGGGGTCCCTGCCGTAGCCATAGTCTGACGAGGCTGCAGTGCCAGAGTAATTATGATAGATGCTCCACGTATTTTTAGACATTATAATTTTTTACATGTTGTATCTCGCAATAAAAGCCAGGGCTCACTTGGTTTGAATATACTGGGTCCGATGGCTTCTCCCGATCTGCTATTGTAGAACACAAAATCCCGACTAACACACGTGATCGGTTGCGAAGTGATCGTAAACACACGGTGATTGGAGCGGCGAGGATCTTACTCGGTACTCTCGCGTGCTACTCAGACTCAAACAAAGCGTGCTCTGAAGCCGTAGCACTTACGACTGACATATGTAAAATGTACAAAAACGAAACCTGGCTTCCACTGTCCGGAAGTCCGTGTAAAGCTCTTGGCTATCACGGGTCACGCCTTCGGCCATGTTTCCGTGTTGGCGCCCTCATATCGTGGCGTTCTGCAGTGCTTAAAATGCACAGGATGAACTGCACGGTGTCAATCGAACAAAGAATTATTCACATTTATGTATTCTTGTACAATATGCTATTAAAGCAGTCAAGGAAAATAAAGATATTAACAAATTGAAAAATAATTATTCCTTTTGTCGAATTTTTAAGTTAGACATGTGCAGTCTTCTCCACTGGCGTCAACTCGCCAGATATTCAATGTATATACTCGTACTCCTTGTATATTTGTTACAGCGATATTAAACAAAAACAGAAAAAAACAAACTAACAAAGTACGTTCCCAAAATACGTTCACCTTGAAGTATAATGGCCACTGGGATAAATAATTAACAACTCCACGAATATCCTGTTGGTAAAGTAGAACATGCAATAAGGGCGAATACCTTGTCAATATTTGTCTAGACGCTGCAATCGCGGGAAAGCGAGAACCATTACACGTCACTGTGGCTGCTAAAGAATTTAGTCATTAACATCATCTATACTTTTATTTTTATTTTCCCAGTGTATATCGGTACTATTGAATGAACAATTTCATTTTATTTATACCTAAACTACAGTTGCATTTTCTATGAAACTGAGTGATAAATCGAATTCGTGTTTCAAACCCGTTCATCCTTATTATGATATTTCATGTCAGAAGGTTTGCTTCCTCGCCAGACAATTTCAATGAATTTACATCCACAAAATTACAGTTGAGGTGTTCGAGTGAAAATAATATTAACTGACATTTCATGTTACAGACGAAAATGCTATCTGATATTAGCATCTATAAGAAAAAAGGTTTGCAAGCTATAACTAACTTTTATTGTCATTTTTGAAATCTCTTGCAATAAAGAGAGAGCCATGATGCAAGAAACAGTCTTAAATAAGACTTTAACGAAAGTTACTACTTATCATTCTTAAAATTCTTAAAATAAATAATCCTTATTTCTTCCAAAATGTTAGTTGACATAATTTAAATGCGAATTGTCTCAACTGTGAACAATTAAAAAAGGTGGTTATTTTACATTTTACTATTATACTCTTTTATGTTCTTTACTATTAACATTTACTCTATACAATTGACAGTACTCTATACAATTGAGTTTATAGTGTCAGAGGGGAAAAGAAAAACATCTTTCCACTTATTTAAGTAAAATATGTTTTTGGAAAACAAATGAATTATGAGAAAGGCAATTTTGTAGTTGTTTAAAATTGTGTAACAGGGCCTAACGATATTTGAAATTTTGGTTGCTGAAATTCAATAATATCACCGAGTTCATTAACTGCTTTCCGACAATCATCGTATTGATGTTATCAAATTCCACGATCGTCTCGATTTAAGTACCACAGTATATTAGTGAGTAAAAGCACGGACAAGCGTTACAACAATATATCTATCTTTTTCACACGCGCAGTTCGAATTTCTCATCACATTTGAGCATCTGCGCGTGCACAAAAGATTGATACTGATGTCGACTGTTGTTCTCTACGCAGCGACGCGGCATTAAACTCCCTATTCGTACCAAAGACTACGTTGAGTGCACCTACCTCCTATTTAATTGGCTGTTCGAGTGACGCCGCGTCCATGACAAAGGTGCCGACGTTTCGGTCGCCATTGTGCGACCTTCCTCAGGGCGTAATGCCAATGGCCGAATGGCGACCGAAACGTTGGCACCTTTGTCATGGACGCGGCGTCACCCGGACAGCCAATTAAATACTGACTGCGGCCGCGGAAGCCTACTCTCTCGCCTACCTCCTGTCCTAGCGTGAGGGCCTCCAGAGGGCAGCGCGAGACGTCCAGAGCCTCCAGGTTGTCGGTGTCTCGGAAGAGCCCCGGCGGCAACTTCGACAGCGGGTTGCGCGACAGGTCCAGCCTCTCCAGCGAAGCGAGGTTCGCGAAGGTGTCGGCCGACAGGGAGAGGATGCCGTTGTTGGAGAGCGACAGTTCCCTCAGTCGCTTGCACTTGCGGAAGTATTTTTCCGGAACGGATTTGATGCCATTGCCCCCCAAGTTGAGCTTTTCCAAGGAAGTCAGGCGCTTAATGAGACCAGGGATGGTGCTGAGCTCGTTCTTGCTGAGGTCGAGAGAGATCAGATTCTGCTCCGAGAACACTTTTCCTGGTAGAGTTGTTAGTTCGTTTCCACGCAGATTTACGTGTTCCAGCATTGTCAGTCCTTCAAAAGCACCCTAGAGAAATGAAAAATATAAGTATTATAACACAAATAATGATATCTCGGAATAGTTTTTTTCTGCTTGTACACTTGAGTCTAATATGTAGGACGAAATTGAGTCTATCAATTTACAATTGATTGAAAATTTACTAATGATGGAAAATTCTAATACAAAGTTTTAAAAAAATGATTATGAAAAGTACAATATGACAAAAACAACAAATCAAGCGCTAAAATTTACTGTTAACTAATACATAGTCCGCGAGAGCTTGATATATTGTCACCTAAATGATGTTACTAGTTATTTAATAATTGCGACCACTTTAGCACAATATACATTTCTGATATTCGTGTTTCCAAATATTTCTAAAAAATGCCTAAATAGTATTGTGTGATAATTAAGTCAGATGCCAACTAGATGACTAAAATTAACTCGTAAGAAGCATCGTACAGACAATAACGAACGCCTACGAATTTTGCGCGTCAATCAGAATGTCGATTACTTTTTCTTGTTACTAGAAATATTAATAAAATCAAGTATATTAAAGAAACTTAATGCATCAGGCGCAAGGAAATGAGAATAAGTTATCTGCAACTAAAAAACAAAAATGACTGAACGGCTTGAGGTGACAAGTACATGAAGGGAAGACTGTGGGAAGACATCTAAATCTTCCCAACTGAACTTAAAAAAATATCATAGAGAGTAATTCTAGCAGATCTAATTTCATAACCAATTAATTATCTTTGATGTTTTATTCTTCAATACATTTTATTAAATAAAAGTTGTTCACACAATTTCGGAATGAATAATCTGTTTGGACACATTCTTCAAGAACGTATGAGACCTTGCTCTCGAAACTACTTCATTCAATGGTGAAAAACGCGAACATAAGATCGTTTAAATGATAATTAAAAGAATTATGAAGCAAAAGATAATTGGAAACGCTCATTAAACACCTAACCTTTCAGTTCATTTAATAGTGCTTAAGGAACACGTGAGTTTCGTTAAACGTCTAGCCTTTTTAAGAGTTACAGTAGGGATCAAAACTGTATATGTAATGTACGTTTATAAATTTTATTGCGTTGAAACTTACAGTAGGGAATAGGGAGTTACAGTAGAGATCAAAACTGTATATGTAATGTAAGTGTATAAATTTTATTGCGTTGGAACTTGAGTATGTTCGTCATTCTATTTAGTATTCTGTAAAGTTGCGAAGGCAAACAGGTTGCGGTCCCGGTACTGCTTAAACAAGCCGTTGACAAGGTGGCCGGTTATTAAAACTCGTATGTATTCCTTACGGAAATGTCAACATTTAGTACCACTACTGAACAGGGACGCAAACGAAGATAACCAAAAGCGGTTAATTCTGACCACCCCCACATAAAACAACGAATTTCTTTTTAAGAACGGAAGGGTCTATCGAATGTTGCATCGGAGCAAAAGGCACCTTTCCCGAGGTCGGCCTTAACCGGCTAGGATTGAAGCAACTGCAATGACGTTTCAAAACAGAAGAAGATATAGGATTATTTGCCAAGCCTTAACGCAATCCAGAAGACATTTTTTAAATTGAAAAATGTTGAACTTAGAAAATACGAGATACCACGTTACTGCTGAAGAAGGTAAAATTACATGTAATTCGCCCGGTTTGTGCTAATATGAACAGAAAGTCCAATACCAGGATTTACTTTGGCCTCCCCCGAGTTCGGTGAGTGGACGCTGCTTCCCCCAGCGGGTCACTGCGAACGGTTGCCGACGGGTTTCGGTCCGCCATAACTCTTGCTACCCTTCCTCAGGACATAATGTTCCTGAAGAAAGCATATAATGCCCTAGGAACGGTCGCAGGAATGGCCCGACCGAAACGTCGGCACCTTCCCATGGTCGCGGCGTTACCCGGACAGCCAAGTAAATACTGACTCCGGCCGCGGAAGCCTGCGCTCTCAGAAGTGAATACATTCTTCAAGGAACTTTAAGTGGGCGGCAAGCGAATTCCAGATAAAACATAATAGAAGCTTGTACACGTAGGCTTCCGCGGCTCAAGTTCATTACTTCTAGGCTGTCCGGGTGACGCCGCGTCGTTGGCAGATAGGCCGAGGAGATGACATGCGAAACGTCGGCCTATCTGCCAACGACGCGGCGTAACCCGGACAGCCTAGAAGTCAGAATAGAAGCTTCTTAAAGTGTTAGAGGTTAAGGCAAAATATTGAAAATGACAGATGTGAGACAATCTGGGAAAACAGAACACTCAGGCTGTAGCGCATTGCGGATTCGGCAGCGTCGTCCGTCCCTTTAGCCTTTCCATTTCTCTTGCTCCCCGGCAATAGTCAGAGATATTTTTCATGGCGCTGCTGCAGCGCCGCGGTCGCCTACTCAGGGTCGAGAAACGGACGCGAGCTCCAGAAGTTGCAAACGTGATGGGTCAGGGGCTCAACACTCTAGAAAGTATTTTAGAGGGGGAGAAGCCATTGCAGATCAAATATCTCACAAGTAAGTTCACAAAACATGACACTGTCTTTGATTAATGTTTCCGAGCTTGCCAATTACTCGGTCATTAGTCCTGTTTGTCTAGTCTATTTTTTGGTGGAGATTTTCCTCACTGGCTGCATAATGAGTTCCGACGACCTAAGTATCGGCTTGCGAGGGATACCCCCTCTAGGTATATTATTGTGGAATTTTATATATTATACCAGTATTATCAATCGTCACTTTGTAAACCTTACTCTTTTTCATATTCGTTCAGACGGCATTAAAATCAATAACCAAGTTACTTTTATAAATAGATTGAAGAAACACTCAGAATCATTTGGTATTAGACAATTGACGGTGAACATAAACAAGTCATCTTCTATAAATACGCAATTCTGTGCATTGATGACCTCAATCGTATATCTCAGTCTTCATGCTCTAGTGATGCGCGACTTAACTATTGCACATTGATGCACTCTTGAATCTGTGATGTAAATTTAGACAAAAAGCCACAAAATATGTTTGCAAAATAATTACTTAAGATTTATAGTTTTAAAGAAAATGTTATAGTATTGGCATTTAAAGACTTTTAAAGGAAGATCTGAAATATAATGTGACATTTAAAGGAAGCTATCACAATAGTTTCATAGATATTGGTTCTGTACATTCAGAATTTATCACGATGTAACTCAACGCACTTGTGTTGCGTTGAGAATCTGTATTAGTATAGACTACAATATAATTTTGGATGCGAGGGGTGCTTAGCTCAACGGAGCTTCCTGCTCTGATCGCGCCAATCGACCCCGTTGCAACCCGAACGCAGAGTGCTTTGCGTACCTGCGGCAGCTCCGTGAGCCCAGTGAACGCCAGATCGAGCAGCCTGAGAGCGGTGAGGCCCGCGAAGAGCCTGGGCGCCACCTGGCGCAGCGGGTTGCGCGCCAGGTAGAGTTCCCGGAGGCGCGCCAGCCCGAAGAAGGCGCCCGCGGGCAGCGCGCGCAGCTCGTTGCGCGCCATGTCCAGCTCCTCGAGCAGCGCGCACCGGCGCAGCGGCCCGTCCAAGGAGGCGAGCGCGTTGCGCGGGGCGTGCAGGCGGCGCAGCGCGCAGGGCTCCGGCAGGAAGCGCAGGTCGCGCAGACGGTTGCCGCCCGCGCGCAGCACCTCGAGCGCGGAGAGCGCGCGCAGCGCGTCGTCCTCCGCCGACGAGATGTTGTTGGACGACACGTCCAGCACCACCAGCAGCGGGTTGAGCTGCGCCGACGACGGCAGCGACGTCAGGTGGTTGCGCGACGCGTTCACCTGCGACACGGCGCGCCCGTCAGTGTTACCACTTACGCAGTAGAGAGAAAGTTGTGTAATGCTGCGCGAAATAACGGAGCATTTTCGGCAAAAAAAAAGCTATTACCGGGCTTTAGTAAAGAAAAAGTGGATAAAACAGTTGTCAAATTAAAAAAAACGTGGTATAACCTTTAAAACGTGGTATATCGTTTAAAACTGGGTATAACCTTTAAAACGTGGTATAGCCTTTAAAACGTGGTATAGCCTTTAAAACGTGGTATAACCTTTAAAACGTGGTATAATCTTTAAAACGTGGTATAACTCAATCCATGTTTTGTGGGTCCTTGATACCGAGAAACCGTACGACGGCAAAACGTCTGTCTACCCGTCTGTGAAGAACTCTAGCGGCTAAACCGTACAGCCGATTATCTCCAAAATTCATATTCCCTAAGCGGTCTGGCTGATGTTGCAAGCCTTAGAGTTTGAAATTGATGTTTTAATAGGGGGGGTTCATTAGATGAAACCCCTGGGACATTTTCGAACAAATTGCTTCATTATTTTTTATTAAATTTTGTTGATGGATTGTGTAAAATAATTTTAAGAGAATAATGCAGATCTTATGTTCATTGAAAGATTTTTCAAAAAGTGCAAAACATCAAACAATGTTTGGCGTCTTCCTACAACAACAATTATGAAAATGCATTTTTCTCCTAATAAAATCTGTTCCTTCAAGATAGATTTTGAAATAAGACCATATACAATTTTCGAAAATCGCGTTATTTTGCGGAAAATTACGGGTGAGAAAGTACGTGCTGTGTTAGCACCACTAGCTTGATTAAAGATTACAAGCGCGTCAACTTCTAAGGTCATTAATCACGTACGTTTAGTGCTTGTTTTCGTCGCAAGAGGGGGTAATGATCGTCCTCCGCTGGATGGTGAGATCCGACATCGACCTACCCCTCCACATGCAGGGTTTTCCACATCCAGGTATCTCCTGCGCAGGTCAAGCACACGGGCGCTAAACCAGGACTGTTTAATTCTATTAAACTGGAGATGTTTATGATAATACAAGAACTGTAAATCTGTAAAGTTAGATCATTGAATGTTTGCAGAAATATGTGTGGAAATAGAAGCCAAATACGCATGATCTTATTGTCAAGCATCTGCATTGAAACAGTTATCACTAAGGTAACACATCTTATTGACTTCATAACCTCCATGAATTAAAGATACCGGATGCTGTAAAATTAGACTGTAATCATATATTGAAGTATTAATTTGAACAAGGCTATTCTAATTAGTATTCGAATAAATTAAATGAGTAATAAACTAGACAAATCAAACTATCAACTTACTCTCTTTTTATATCATGATAGTTTATTTAATCAAATGATTAACTATATCTATCTCTATCTCTCTCTGAGAGAGAGAGAGAGAGAGAGAGAGGGAGAGAGAAAGAGAGAAAAGGAGAGAGAGAAAGAGAAAAGGAGAGAGAGAAAGAGAAAAGGAGAGAGAGAGAAAGAGAAAAGGAGAGAGAGAGAAAAAGAAAAGGAGAAAGGAGAGAGAGAAAGAGTAAAAGGAGAGAGAGAAAGAGAAAAGGAGAGAGAGAAAGAGAAAAGGAGAGAGGAGAAAAGGAAAAGAGAGAGAGAGAAAAAAGAAAAGGAGAAGAGAGAAAAAGAAAGGAAGAGGAGAAAAGAAAAAGGAGAGAGAGAGGAAAAAGAAAAGGAAGAGAGATGAAAAAAGAAAAGGGGAGAGAGAGAAAAGAAAAGGAGAGAGAGAGAAACAGAAAAGGAGAGAGAGAGAAAAAGAAAAGGAGAGAGCAGAGAAAAAGAAAAGGAGAGAGAGAAAAGAAAAGGAGAGGAGAGAAAAAGAAAAGGAAGAGGAGAAAAAAGAAAAGGAAGAGAGAGAAAAAATGAAAAGGAGAAGAGAGAGAGGAAGAAAGAAAGGAGAGAGAGAGAGAAGAAAAGAAAAAGGAGAGAGAGAGAGGAAGAAAAAAAGGAGAGAGAGAGAAAGAAAGAAAAGAAAGAAAAGGAAACGGAGAGCAAGCAAAGGAGATATATATATATAAAGAAAAGGAGAGAGAGAAAGAAAGGAGAGAAGAGAGAAAGAAAGAAAAGGAGAGAGGAGGGAGAGAGAGGAGAGAAGGAGAGAGGAAAGAGAAAATGGAGAAGAGAAGAAAGAAAGAAAAGGAGAGAGAGAAAGAGAAAAGGAGAGAGAGAGAGAAAGAAGAAAAGGAGAGAGGAGAGAGAGAAGAGAGAGAGTAGAGATTGGATAAACTTCCTATTCTGCAGTTCGTTGCATCAAATCAAAACTTGAACAAGCTCACCAACAGCAAAGGGACTCAACAATCCGGCAACGCTTCCAGTCATCTTGCGTGCAAGTCGACTTCTTGCCTGCGAGTCGCAGAACTCTTTGCGTCATGAGCGGCTTCCAAAGTGCGTGCCCAGCGACTCTCGCCTCGTTCGTTCGTGGGCTCCAGCACCCGTCTAAGCCGCACGGTGCAGCAAGGGTAACCGCTTTTGCGGGCAGAAGGCCGCCGCGGCCAGCAGGGTGCACGTCGCCAGATAAGCTGATGGACGACGCCATGGCTTGCGGCGGGCAATGGCTGTCCGGCAGTCTGCGCTGGCGCGGCGGCGGCGACGGAAGGGCGGAGCGCGGAGGCTGTATCTTCCTCCGCGAGGAAGCGTTCATCTGCGCGCCACCCACACCCGCGAAGAGACTGCGGCGCGCAGAAGCGAA